GATCACTTGAGGTCAGGAGTTCGAGACTAGCCTGGTCAACATGGCAAAACCCTATCTCTACTAAAAATATAGAAATTAGCTGGGCATGGTGGCATGTGCCTGTAATCCCAGCTACTCAAAAGACTGAGGCAGGAGAATCACTTAAACCCGGGAGGCGGAGGTTGCAGTGAGCTAAGATTGTACCACTGTACTCCAGCCTGGGCAACACAGCAAGACTCCATCCTAAAAAAAAAAAAAAAAAAAAAAAGAAAGAAAGAACAAATTAGCCAGGCATGGTGGCGCACACATACAGTCCCAGCTACTCGGGAGGCTGAGGCAGAAGAATCACTAGAACCCAGGAGGTGGAGGTTGCAGTAAGCTGAGATCGCGCCACTGCACTGAAGCCTGGGCGACAGAGCAAGACTCTGTCTCAAAAAGAATACTGTCTTTCTTTTGGATTGTTTTTGTAGTTAAGTTTTACTTTCCAGCAAAATTCTAAATCTCTTAGGAGTGGGTATCACATCCATTTATTCATATTTATTCCTCTCTCACAGCATCTGACACACACACCAGACAGGCTATTTGTTGGCTTAGTATAAAAGCTGAGATTTCTAAAACATAGCCACATTCTCTCTTTTTTCTCTATACTTCTCTGCATATATTATCTCTCAAACCAGAAAAAAATTATATAAAAATAAAAAATGATAATCTCTAACCATCTATTTTTAGAAGCTTCACCAATTCCAAATTACAGAATAGGCCTAGTGTTAGGATGTTATTACTACATTATGATTGTATGTCCTCAAGTTCACGTGGGAGACTGTGACTCTATTCTCACCAGCTGGAATCACAGGGTAAATGATATTTGGAAAAGTCATTAGCTATCTTAGAAAAACAGTTCTCTCTCCAGAACACATGGCCCATGCAGATTCTCTGTGGTCAGGGTAAGGACTCCAGAATTGCTAACATATTCTGTACATGTACTTCACATGCTCCCTCAAAGCAAATTCTTTTTTTTTTGTTTTGAGACAGAGTCTCACTTCATCAACCAGGCTGGAGTGCAGTGGCACAGTCTTGGCTGACTGCAACCTCCGCCTACAGGGTTCAAGTAATACACCTCAGCCTCAGCCTCCCAGGTAGCTTGGAATTACAGGCATGTGCCACTGCGCTAATTTTTGTATTTTGTAAAAATATAGGCATGAGCCACTGTGCCTGGCCAAAGGCAGATTTTTTTGTATGTGGCTAATTTTTGTATTTGTTATAGAGATGGAGTTTTGCCATGTTGGCCAGGATGGTCTCGAACTCCTGAGCTGAAGTGATCCACCTGCCTCGGACTCCCAAAGTGCTGGGATTACCATGAACCACTGTGCCTGGCCTCAAAATAAATTCTTATTGAATCTTTATACCACCAAACCATATCATCATAAACATGTTACAGTTGACCCCTGAACAACTCAGGGGTTAAGCACATCAACCCTCTGTGCAGTTGAAAATCTGCATAGGCCAGTGTGGTGGCTCACGCCTGTAATTCTAGCACTTTGGGAGGCCAAGGTGGGAGGATCGCCTGAGCTCAGGAGTTCGAGAACAGCCTGAGCAGCATAGTGAGACCTTGTCTCTGTTTTAAATAAATAAATAAGAAAAAGAAAATCTGCATATAATTTTTGTCTCCCCAGAAATAAACTGTTAATAGCCTATTGTTGACTAGAAACCTTACTGATAATATGAGCAGTTGATTAACACATATTTTGGATGTCACACGTACGATATACATTAAAGTAAACCAGAGAAAAGACTATGTTATTTAAAAAATCAGGAAAAGGAGGCCGGATATGGTGGCTCATGCCTGTAATCCCAGTACTTTGGGACGCTGAGGCAGGTGGATCACAAGGTCAGGAGATCGAGACCATCCTGGCCAACATGGTGAAACCCTGTCTCTACTACAAACATTAGCTGGGTGTGGTGGTGCATGCCTGTAGTCCCAGCTACTCGGGAGGCTGAGGCAGGAGACTCACATGAACCCAGGAGCCAGAGGTTCCAGTGAGCCAATATCACGTCACTGCACTCTAGCCTGGCAACAGAGCAAGACTCCATCTCAAAAACAAACAAAAAAAAGTCAGAAAAAGGAATATATTAACTATTCATTAAATGGAAGTGGATCATCATAAAGGTCTTCATCCCCATTGTCTTCCTGCTGAGTAGGCTGAGTAAGAGGAGGAAGAAGAGAGGGTGGTTTTGCTATCTCATGAGTGGCAGAGATGGTAGGGGAGGCAGGAGAGGTAGGCATAGCATAACTTTTATTGAAAAAAATATGCCTCTGGCCAGGCATGGTGACTCATGCCTATAATCCCAGCACTTTGGGAGGCTAAGTAGGGGTGGATCACTTGAGGCCAGGAGTTCGAGACCAGCATGGCCAACATGGCAAAACCCGTCTCTACTAAAAATACAAATATTAGCCAGGTGTGGTGGTGCACACCTGTAGTTCCAGCTACTTGGGAGGCTGTGGCAAGAAAATCACTTGAACCTGGGAGGTGGAGGTTGCAGTAAGCCAAGATTGTACCACTGCACTTCAGCCTACGTGACAGAGTGAAAATCTGTCTCAAAAAATCTGTCTTATTTACTTGTAATTAATTGTTATTTTCTCTAAATTCACTTTCTAAAATCTTAAAAAACCACCTAGTAATTACTCCAAACATTTGCCCACTATCATCCCTTTAAGGGAGGATAATGATCTAAGCTAAGGGAAATCATTTCTTTTGGAGCCAAAAACTTAGGCTTCTGTATGTCTAATTCCTTAGTTTAGAATTTGTTGGGGGGCCAGGGACAGTGGCTCATACCTGTAATCCCAGTATTTTGGGAGGCCAAGGCGGGCAGATCACTTGAGCTCAGGAGTTTGAGATCAACCTGGACAACATGGCCAAAACCCATCTCTACTTTAAAAAGCAAAAAAATCATCCAGGTATGGTGGTGCACACCTGTAATCCCAGGTACTCAGAAGGTGGAGGCACAAGAATCGCTTTAGTCCAGGAGGAAGAGGTTGCAGTGAGCTGAGATCATGCCACTGTAATCCAGCCTGGGCTAGAGTGAGACCCTATCTTTTAAAAAAAATCCTGTTTTGTTTTTTTTTTTTAAGAGACGGGGTCTCACTATGTTGCCTAGGCTGGAGTGCAGTGGCTATTCACAGGTGCCATCCCACTACTGATCAGCACAGGATTTTTGACCTGCTCTGTTTCCGACCTGGGCCGGTGGCACCCCTCCTTAGGCAACCTGATAAGTCCCAAAACACATCCACTATAAATTTAATGGGTATGATATACAAGGACTTATGTCAAAGATAAATATAATGAATTAAAACTTTACAAGTGGCCAAGCACAGTGTAATCCCAGCACTTTGGGAGGCCAAGGCGGGTGGATCACCTGAGGTCAGGAGTTCGAAACCGGCCTGGCCAATATGGTGAAACCCTGTCTCTAAAAAAAAAATAAAATAAAATAAAAAAATAAACGTTTACTAGTATAATTCTGTTCTCAGAAATAAAATCACATTACTAGGATCCAAGTCATAATTTTTTTTTTTTTTTTTTAACAGGGTCTTACTCTGTTGCCAAGGCCTGGAGTGCAGTGTCAAGAACATGGCTCACTACCTCCAGGGCTTAAGTGATCCTCCTGTCTCAGCCTCCTGAGCAGCTGGGACAATAGGTATGAACTACCATGCCCAACTAATTTTTTTTTTGTTTGTTTGTTTTTTGTTGAGATAGAATCTAGCCATGTTGCCTAGGCTGGTCTTGAACTCCTGGGCTCAAGTAATCCTCCCACCTTGGCCTCCCAAAGTGCTGGGATTACAGGCATGAGCCACTGCACCCAGCCACGGATTACAGTCCTATATATCCTGCATGAAAATACTTTAATACAAAAATGATGCTCTTCTTTGTCCTAAAGTTGTCATTATTTCATCTTCAAGATTATAACTTCTTTGAATGTAGGAAGTGGTTCTTATTCTGTGTCTCCCACAGTGCCTTAAGAGAGGACCTTATATGAAGATCTAGCCTCTCTCAGCTGATGCTTTCTGACAATCTCTTGCTCTGTCACCTTTATACTCCTAAGGCCATCAGTCCTTTAGCTAGAAAATAATTAATTCATTAAAAATATTTCCAAAGTATACTAGTTGAAGAAAAGTTCACTAGATGTGTCCCTATATCCTGTAATTACACAAGAAAATCTAATCAGTGCCAAGTTCTCTTAAATAAACACTTGGAGAAGAAGGGATAGGAGTCTCGATTACTTTGCTTGCTGTTCAGAGGAAAAATTTAAGACTGTCACAAGCAGGCCATGCCTAGGAAAGATTCTGGTAAAGATGTCTTTCTGCTGAAGGGACCTGATCTGTGTTAGCTCTGAGAACAGGCTAGAAGCAGACAGAACACCTACTATAAGCTATATACCAGCAATACAGAGAGGACTTCCAAGGTTCTACAAGATCCTGGAATCACTCCGACCTCATCTCCTACCCCTCTCAGGGCAGCAGACACAGGAGACAGGAAGGAATGGACAAGAGAGTGGTTGAGGGTGCAACTAAAAGGCATGACGCTAGAGGGTTTCGATTTGATCCTAAAGATGGGAAACCGTCAACAATCTAGAAACAGAGCACTGACACGGTCTCGGGTGCGCACTTTGAATGCAAAGTGGGGACTGGGATGGAAGCAGAGCATAAAGGAGGCAGGGAGACCACTTAGAAGAACCACGGAGAGAGGATGACGCTACCTGACGCGTCCGGGAAAAGGGCTTGTAGAATGGGTCCAGGGGGATGGCAAGAAGCCATGAGCTCAGCGTAGGGCAGGATGACCCTACAGAGACGGTCCAGCGGAGCCTGAGGGTCAGGGAGGAAGGGGGAAGCTGGGACCTGAAGGAGGAAGTGAAAACCCGCAACAGCCGAAGGCTCCGGGAGTCCTCTCAAAGCATCTCCCCAGCGCCCCAGCCCAACAGCCTCAGCGGCCTCCCTCCTCCCCGCCTCCCCTTGCCGCCCCGCTGACCGAACGAGTTGAGAAAGTCTGCGATTTTCTTGATGCTGCTGGTGATTATTTCAATGTACTCCCGGTTAGCCCAGTCCTGGTGAATCTCCCTCTGCACCGGATCCTCTTGTCCCGCCATGGCGGCAGCCAGAGGAAAAACGACTGCGCAGGCGCCCCGACCCCATAGGCCTCCAGTGCGCCTGCGCCGCCAGCCCACACCCATCTTCTTGGGCACCCACGAATTCTCCGGCACTGTGATACTCCCGTGCAACGTCACGCCCTCGCCGGCGTTTGCTCTCTGCTCCCACGCTATAGAAACAGAAGCCTCGACTCCAGCGGCGAGATTATAGTGCATGCGCGTTACGGTCGTTAAATGGGCGCGTGGGGTCTCGCCGTCTCCCTCAAATGCTCCAGGCTCAGGTTGCACAGTCAGTGTCAGCAGTAATATGGGCACTAAATCACATTAAATACAAGTCTTTTTTTTTCTTTTTGAGACGGAGCCTTGCTCTGTCACCCAAATTAGAGTGCAGTGGCAATGCAACCTCCGCCTCTAGGTTCAAGTGATTTTCCTGCCTCAGCCTCCCAAGTGCTGGGATTACAAGTGCAGGCCGCCACACCCGCGTAATTTTTTTTTTTTTTTTGCATTTTTACTAGAGACAGGGTTTCACCATGTTGGTCAGGCTGGTCTCGAACTCCTGGCCTCAAGTAATTTGCCCGCCTTGGCCTCCCAAAGTGCAGTGCTGGGATTACAGGTGTGAGTAACCATGCCCAGCCTAAATACAAGTCATTTTTAAAATGCCTTCCCAGCCAGACGTGGTAGCACACACCTGTGGCCCCAGCTACTCGGGAGGCTGAGACAGGAGGATCACTTGAGCCCAGCAAGTCGAGACTACAGTGAGCTGAGATCGCCCCCCTGCACACCAGCCTGGGCAACGGAGCAACATCCTGTCTCAAAATAAAATACCTAAAAGTAGCCGGGCGCGGTGGCTCACGCCTATAATCCCAGCACTTTGGGAGGCTGAGGCAGGTGGATCACGAGGTCAAGAGATCGAGACCATCCTGGTCAACATTGTGAAAACCCGTCTCTACTAAAAATACAAAAAATTAGCTGGACATGGTGGCGTGTGCCTGTAATCCCAGCTACTCAGGAGGCTGAGACAGGAGAATTGCCTAAACCCAGGAGGTGGAGGTTGCCGTGAGCCGAGATCGCACCATCGCACTCCAGCCTGGGTAACAAGAGCGAAACTCCGTCTCAAAAAAAAATACATAAAAATAAAATAAAATTCCTTCCAATGACACATGATGTCTGCCTCACATTTATCAAATGAATAACTTTTTCTTTAACGACAACAGCCATTAATGGATAGAGTCCAAATTTATATGGTCATAAATAGCTGGGCACACTGCAAACTGGCACAATCCCTTGCAGAAGGAAGTTTGTGTTTTTATGTTGTTTTTTGAGACAAGGTCTTATTGTCATCAAGGCTGGAATGCAATGGCATGATCATGGATCACTGCAGCCTCGAACTCCTGCACTTAAGCTATCCTCCAGCCTCCACCTCCAGTGTAGTTGGGATTACAGGCTCACATCACCATGCCTGGCTAATTTTTGTGTTATTTGTAGAGAGGGTGTTTCACAATGTTGGCTAGGCCAGGCTCGAACTCCAGATCTCAGGTGATCAGCCCACCTAGGCCTCCCAAAGTGCTGGGATTACAGGCATGAGCCACCACACCCGGCCTATTATGAAGTAATTTAAATGCTAACTATGAACACAAGCAATATGAAAACACGTAAACAGTGGCTGGGCGCGGTGGCTCATGCCTGTGATCCCAGCATTTTGGGAGGCCAAGGTGGGCAGATCACGAGGTCAATCAAGACCTGGCCAACATAGTGAAACCCCGTCTCTACTAAAATACAAAAATTATCTGGGTGTGGTGGCGCACACCTGTAGTCCCAGCTACTCGGGAGGCTGAGGCAGAATTGCTTGAAGCTGGGAGGTGGAGGTTGCAGTGAGCCGAGATCACGCCACTACACTCCCAGCCTGGCACCTGGAGAAAGAGCGAGACTCTGTTCAAAAAAGAAAACACATAAATGAAGGGAAAAATTAAATACACATTTTTCTTTCTTTCTTTTTTTTCTTGAGACAGAGTTTCTCTGTTGATGCCCAGAATGGAGAGCAATGGTGCAATCTTGGCTCACTGTGACCTCCACCTCCTGGGTTCAAGTGATTCTCCTGCCTCTGCCTCCCAGGATTACAGGTGCTCACCACCACGCCTGGCTATTTTTCATATTTTTTAGTAGGCCAACATGTTGGTCAGGCTGGTCTCAAACTCCTGACCTCAGGTGATCCACCCACCTAGGCCTCCCAAAGTGCTGGGATTACAGGCATGAGCTACCATGCCTGGCCTATTATGCAGTCATTTAAATGCTAATTATGAACACAAGCAACATGAAAACACACAAATAAAATTGAAGGGAAAAACTAAATACACATTTTTCTTTCTTAACAGGCTCACACCTGTTAATCCTAGCACTCTAGGAACCTGAGGTGGGCATACCACTTGAGGCCAGGAGTTCAAGACTAGCCTGCCCAACACGGTGAAACTGTGTCTCTACAAAAAGTAGAAAAATTAGCCAGGCATGGTGGCACGTGCTTGTAATCCCATCTATTCAGTAGACTGAAGTGGGAGGATCACCTGAGCCCAGGGAGGTGGAGGCAGCAGTGAGCAGTGATTGCACTATTCCACTCCAGCCTGGGTGACAGAATGAGACCCTGTCTCAAACAAACAAACAAAAAAAAAAAAAAAAAAAAAAAAAAAAAACAAATGGCTGAAGAGTCAGATTACTTCTAGCACTGGCATTAACTGGGAAGAAACCATTACTAACAGTTATTTATACCAGTAGAGGATTTTATAACCTATAAAGATGCTTTTATAGCTGTTACCTCACTGGACTCTCACAAACCCAGTGGAAGGAAGCCAGGAAGAAGTTTCTCATTTCATAAATCAGAAATCAGAAATCTGATGTTCAAGGCAACAAAGCCAATTAAATGGTAGACCCTAATCAGCTGATTCCAGACTTCATTATCTCTTCACTATACCACTCTGAAAACAGGTTAAAGTCCATTTGAGCTCCCCTATATATACATATACATGATTTCTAAAATAAATAATAGATATAGATAATTAGGAAAGCCTAAGCATGCAGTAGGCAATGTGCCATTCAAGGCCCTGTATTCTAAGTGATGCTATTGAAGTGGCATTTTGCTCAGATATCACAGTCAGATAGACCTACTTTTTCTTTTAAGGAATTGCCTCAGCTGGGCACGGTGGCTCATGCCTGTAATCCCAGCACTTTGGGAGGCTGAGGCGGGCAGATCACCTGAGGTTGGGAGTTCAAGACCAGCCTGACCAACATGGAGAGATCCCGTCTCTACTAAAAATACAAAATTATCCGGATGTGGTGACGCATGTCTGTAATCCCAGCTACTCGAGAGGCTGAGGGAGGAGAATCACTTGAACCTGGGACGCAGAGATTGTGGTAAGCCAAAATCTCGCCATTGCACTCCAGCCTGGGCAGCAAAAGCAAAATTCCATCTCAAAAAAAATATATATATATATATATATTGCATTGGCTGGGCGTGGTGGCTTGGGACTCTAATCCTAGCACACTTTGGGAGGTCAAGGCAGGTGGATCACCTGAGTTCAGGTGTTTGAGACCAGCCTGGCAAACATGGTGAAACCCTGTCTCTACTAAAAATACAAAAACAAACAAAAAAAAAATTAGCCAGTCATGGTGGCTGGCGCCTGAAATCCCAGCTACTACGGAGGCTGAGGCAGGAGATTCACTTGAACTTGGGAGGCAGAGGGTACAGTGAGCCAAGATTGCGCCATTGCACTCCAGCCTGGGTGATAAGAGCAAAACTCTGTCTCAAAAAATAAAATAAAAAATAAAGACATTGCATCATAGTTTCAAATCTTAAATCTACCAACCAGGATTCATTTCACCTCTCTGAGCTTTGGTTCCTTTATGTGTAATTCAAGGGTAACAACATTGATGAATTAGGATTGTTGGAGGATTATGTGAGAAAGTATAAATAAAACACTAAGCACAATGCCTAGCTCGTCATACAGCATGCACTCAGGATCAGTTTATATTTTCTTATTGTGCAGACAGCAGAAACCTATCTGACAATTTTTTTAATGTCATCTTCCACGGACAAGTCAGACTCAAGTCTTGTCCTTTTGCTTGACTTCCTGTACAGCTGTTCCAGAATCTCCCCTGTAATTCCAAATGACTCAAGGATATGATGCTGTTCTTGAGTGAAGATGGTTCCTGTGCACTTCAGGAGCCTTTTCCTAAATGCTTTACAGAACTGCTGTCAAACAGTCCTCCAGTTATGGGTTTGCTAGCATGGTAGTTTTTCACTGTAGGAATTGTTTCTGATGAGTGACACAGGGCTGCAGAGGCCAGCTTTGGGAATGTTGTTAGTGCAACCAGGAGCGCTACAGTCAACATAGTGAAACCAGGTCCCTGTCTTCACCTTTTTTTTTTTTTGAGACAGAGTCTCATTCTGGTTGGAATGCAGTGGTGCAGTCTCAGCTCACTGCAACCTCTGCCTCCTGGGCTCTAGCAATTTGCCTGCCTTAGTCTCCCAAGTAGCTGGGATTAGAGGCCTGCATCACCACACCTGGCTAATTTTTGTATTTTTTTGGTAGAGGCTGGGTTTCGCCATGTTGGCCAGGCTGGCCTCGAACTCCCGACCTCAAGTGATCTGCCTGCGTTGGCCTCCCAAAGTGCTGGGATTACAGGCATGAGCCACTGTGCCCAGCCCCTGTCTTCACTTTGAGTTGGTCATACACTTCATGGAACTTGGGATCTCATTGATAACTTCAGGTATAAGAATCAATGTGGAGCCAGGCGTGGTAGCTCACGCCTATAATCCCAGCACTTTGGGAGGCCGAGACGGGTGGATCACGAGGTCAAGAGATCGAGACCATCCTGGTCAACAAGGTGAAACCCCGTCTCTACTAAAAATACAAAAATTAGCTGGGCATGGTGGCGCGTGCCTGTAGTCCCAGCTACTCGGGAGGCTGAGGCAGGAGAATTGCTTGAACCCAGACGGCTGAGGTTGCAGTGAGCCGAGATCGTGTCACTGCACTCCAGTCTGGGTAACAACAGCGAAACTCCATCTCAGGAAAAAAAAAAAAAAAGAATCAATGTGGAATCAAACCTCTAAGAAATTTAGCGCTTGCAGGCCAGGCGCAGTAGCTCAAGCCTGTAATCCCAGCACTTTGGGAGGCCGAGGCGGGTGGATCACGAGGTCAAGAGATCGAGACCATCCTGGTCAACATGGTGAAACCCCGTCTCTACTAAAAATACAAAAAATTAGCTGGGCATGGTCGCACATGCCTGTAATCCCAGCTACTCAGGAGGCTGAGGCAGGAGAATTGCCTGAACCCAGGAGGCGGAGGTTGAGGTGAGCTGAGATTGCGCCATTGCACTCCAGCCTGGGTAACAAGAACAAAACTCCATCTCAAAAAAAAAAAAGAAATTTAGTGCTTGCATTAAGCCTGGTCGTTTGAGCTTCCTTTGCAGTCATATGCACTTGGACCATTATTGGCACAGCTGGGCCCATTAGGTCAGTATTTCAAATTCCTACTAACACTTTGTGACATAATATTTGTGCCACAATAAACGTAACTGAGACATCATAGAAGGGTGGAGATAGCATGTGCACCATAGAATGTGGCTATGACAATATAGCCACATTATAGTGGCTATATTATAATTCAGGGATTATGAGAATCCCTGAACATTGCAACCAGAATGTTGAGCACTACATGATACAGACCACATTCTGCTTTTCCGTATGGAGCAGGCTATTGGACTTGGAGGTGATGGTGAGTGGCACGTGTCCCTTAGAGCTGGGCAGACTGCACAGAGGACTGTTGTACAAATTCTATTTTTTTTTTTTTTTTTGACAGATCACTTTGTCGCCCAGGCTGGAATGCAATGGCACAATCTCGGTTCACTGCAACCTCCACCTCCCTGGTTCAAGCGATTCTCCTGCTTCAGCCTTCCGAGTAGCTGGGATTATAGGCACCCATCACTACACCCAGCTAATTTTTGTATTTTTAGTAGAGACAGGATTTCACCATGTTGGTCAGGCTGGTCTTGAACTCCTGACATCGGGTGATCCGCCCACCTTGGCCTCCCAAAGTGCTGGGATTACAGGTGTGAGCCACCGTACAAATTCTGTGCCTGGCCTGTACAAATTCTTATAACAGTATGAAGCCTTATCTATTCAATAATTTTTAAACATACAAGTTTGCATTGAGGACTTTCATTAGACAAAAAAAAAAACCCAGTTGGGCATGGTGGCTCACACCTGTTATCCCAGCACTTAGAGAGTCTGAGGTGGGTGGATCACGAGGTCAGGGGTTCGAGACCAGCCTGACCAACATGGTGAAACCCCATTTCTACTTTAAAATATAAAAATTATCCGGGCATGGTGGCGCACACCTGTAATCCCAGCTATTTGGGAGAAGAATTGCTTGAACCTGGGAGGCAGAGGTTGTGGTAAGCTCAGAGGGGCCATTGCACTCCAGCCTGGGCAACGGAGCAAGACTCCATCTAAAACAAACAAACAAACAAACAAAAAACCACCACTGTGCAATTAAAAACGAAATAAAGGCCGGTTACAGTGGCTCATGTCTGTAATCCCAGCATTTTGGGAAGCCGAGGCAGGCAGATCACCTGATGTCAGGAGTTCAAAACCAGCCTAACCAACATAGTGAAACCTCGTCTCTACTAAAAATACAAAAATTAGCCTGGTGTGGTGGTTTGTGCCTGTAATCCCAGCTTCTCAGGAGCTGAGGCAGGAGAATCGCTTGAGCCTGGAAGGCAGAGGTTGCAATGAGCCTGGGTGACAGAGTCAGACTCTGTCTAAAAAAAAAAAAAAAAAAAAAGGAGGGAAAAAAATGAACTAGGAAAAAAGTTTTTTGATTCAAAATCATTTGTGTCTCTTCCAAGTGTCACTATTCTCTGCCCCTTTCTTCATTTGCTGACATCCCTCCAAACTCTTCTGCATTTATCTCTTCTCCCATAAGGTGCACATGCACACACAGTGGGTATTTGACAGTTTTTGACAAGTACCTAACGACTCTCTGGTCTTCTAAATCAGGATCTGGCCTGACCCTATTCTCAGGCCCTCAATCTCTCTCCATCAGCTTTACCCAAAAAAACAGACAAAAGGTGACAAGTCTTATTTGTGGTGTGTGTTCTGCAGTTTGTAAAATGCACGGATGATTCTGGGTGTAAAAGGCAAGGGCAAGTAGGCCATTAGGCCATTAGTTACTCCCCCCAACAAATATTGCACACTGCCAGACACTGCAATAGCCAGGTACTGGGAATACAGACGTCAGCTGGGTAGACTCCTCCCTTCCCTCAGCCATCCAGGGTCATTATTTTAAGTGACGATTACGAAGTTGTCAAATCACTCCTTTACTAATACAGCAAAAATGTCAGTATTTCAGCATTGTAAGAATGAGATAAAATCATTCTTCTGAGATTTTTTATTTTCTTTTTGAGCCAGGCATCTAGCTATGTTGCCCAGACTGGTCTTGAACAGGATCCTGGGCTCAAGCAGTCTATCCATCTCAGCCACCCAGATAGCTGGGATTACAGGTGCTCTGAGGTTAAATAGAAGGCTAAGAAAGGTGTTCTGTCTGAAAATCAAGGAAAGACGTGCATTTTCTCCTGCTCTTGACAGGTGAACATTTATTAATGATCTTTCCTTGCACTGGGATCATTCAAATAGAGCAACAAAACCTGGTAGGGCTCTGGGTCACTCTGCCTGAGTACCCACAGAGTGTGATGAATTGGGACTAATTTTTAACACTAACTACAGGTCCTGGGACTTTTATGCAGACCCCTGACCAAAGCCTTTGAAGTAGGGGTCGCCTGTTCTCTGTGGCTTGATCAAAGGCACACAGGTGTGGCGCGGTGGGGAGGAGGACAATGGAGGGGACAGGATTCGAACCAGCCCTCCTGAAGACCGAGTCCTGGATAAGGCATTCCAATGAGGTGGGTGGGGGGAGTGCGGCTCTGACGCCTCCCAGCAAGGCGCCTCGGCCCGGGCTCCCCCGCGGTCCTGGGTCACAAAGGCGGTTGCCAGGCGCCAGGTGGAGAAAGGGCGCCACGAAACAGCGGCGGCCACTGTGGAGCGTGCGACCCTCAGAATTCAGCCCCGTGAACCCCGGGCCTGGATGGTGGAGCTGGGCTGGGGTTCCCACCGTCTCCTCTGCCTCAACCAGAACCGTCTGGTCCCTGCCCCCGGGTAGGGACCCCTTCTTCTGACGGGGAGTGGGAGCCTCTCGCACTCTTTTGGGCAGCTCCGAACCCTAGGGATCTCCATTTACAGTTCACGACCTCAGCTGCACTTTGGCGCTATCGCCTGCCGGGTTTCCCAGGTGGGGAAATCAAGAGATGGGATTCCTTGGAACTGGAAGTGCGGTGTGAAGGGGAAAACTTTTTGGCCAGGAGAATCGGGTGTTCCCTATCTGGGACCTATTGAGCAGCTTGAGCAGAGTTCGTAGGTTCAAGCCCTTCTGGAGTAGTTGAGAGTGACTTCTGGGCGGTGGGGATGGGGTGAACTATCTTTAAACTTTGTGCGAAGTGGTGCAGGGCCCTAGGTTTAGAAGCCCTCCCGTCCCGTGTTGGTTCTGCCGAATATTTAGACACTCCTAAACTCAAGTGATCCGCCTGCTTCGGCCTCCAAAGTGCTGACTGCAGGCCTGAACCACCATGTCCCGACCTAGGCTGGGCATTTGACAAAGCCCCCCTCTCCCTTTTTTTCTTTTCTTTTTTTTGAGACAGACTCTCAATCTTCTTGCCCAAGCTAGAGTGCAATGGCCGGGTCTCGGCTCACTGCAACCTCTGCCTCCCAGGTTCAAGCAATTCTGCCTCAGTGTCCTAAGTAGCTGGGATTACAGGCGCACGCCACCATGCCCGGCTAATGTTTTGTATTTTTAGTAGAGACAGAGTTTCACCATGTTGTTCAGGCTGCTCTCAAACTCCAGACCTCGTGATCCGCCCGCCTTGGCCTCCCAAAGTGCTGGGATTACAGGCGTGAGCCACCGCGCCCGGCTGTGACAAAGCCTTATACTTCTGCCTCTATTTCCTCTTAGAAGACGTGGTAAGAAAAGGATCCTGGGATTAAACACTTTTTTTGATCATATGCTTGGCAGCATTCATACCTTCTACACACCTTGTCTACATACCTTCTGGTACCTTGTAGTGTACCAGAGTAGTCCCTCTCTTGGGTGTGCTCTGAAGGTCAAGAAACCTTTCACAAGCTGTTTGGAATAGATAACTGTCCCTTGATTGTCCCTTTCTCATTCTAAGACCGCCCAGATATTTGAACACTTAGTAATTTGCAAAGAGCCTGTATAGATCACGAGAAACATACTAGTTGGAGAAAATCAACAAATCCCTCTATACTAAGCATTATCAGGGGCAGGTCTTCTGGTCTGAAATGTCACCAACAGTTTTGTTTGTTTGTTTTTTTAAATGAGGCAGAGTCTCGCTTTGTCGCCAAGGCTGGGGTGCAATGGCTCACTGCAACCCCCGCCTCCTGGGTTCAAGTGATTCTCCTGCCTCAGCCTCCTGAGTAGCCAGGATTACAGGTGTGCACCACCACACCCAGCTAGTTTTTGTATTTTTAGTAGAGATGGGATTTCACCATGTTGGCCAGGCTGGTCTCAAACTCCTGACCTCAAGTGATCCACCTGCCTCAGCCTCCCAAAGTGCTGGGATTACGGGCATGAACCACTGTGCCCAGCCAATAGTTCTTTTTTTAAAATGAACTTTTCCATCTCACAAACAGCGGTGAAGGTGTCAACATTTTCACGGTATTTCTGGGGCAATTACTGGACAGGATGGGATCTATCTCCTTCTATCTTCTGTGGGAAAAGAAGAGGCAGAGAAATACACTTGGCTACAAAGAAAGGGGATCCGGCCGGGTGTGGTGGCTCAAGCCTGTAATCCCAGCACTTTGGGAGGTCGAGGCGGGTGGATCACGAGGTCAAGAGATCGAGACCCTCTTGGTCAACATGGTGAAACCCCGTCTCTACTAAAAATACAAAAAATTAGCTGGGCATGGTGGTGCGTGCCTGTAATCCCAGCTACTCAGGAGGCTGAGGCAGGAGAATTGCCTGAACCCAGGAGGCGGAGGTCGCAGTGAGCCGAGATCGCACCATTGCACTCCAGCCTGGCTAACAAGAGTGAAACTCTGTCTCAAAAAAAAAAAAAAAGAAAGGGGATCTGCTATGCCCACTAACATAAAATGTAGGTGTTAAAAAAATTGGCTTCTGGATTCAGTAAAACTTCTCATATACTGGCAATGTTGAAGGAGAATCATGGATAATTCGAATTTTACTCAGATAAATTTTGACTTAGCAATATCCTCACAGCCCTTTTTAATCTTCAAAAGAAAAAGAAAATTAATGTCTTATGGAACCAGTAGGTCTTTCATAGAAGGAAAACAAAACAGAAAAACAATTAAAAAAAAACACCCACACCTAGAGAAACAAAAATGTTTCGCAATTTTTTGACTGGACTTTGGAAAAGTTTTCCATGCCCAGCCTGGTGTAGCTCTTCTGAGGTAGTATATAAATAGCCCAGGTGTCTGCAAGTTGCTCCCTTATGCTAGAAAATACAGAGGGCTTTTGGGCCAGGAGATGATCTCAGTAATGAACAGTGAAAGCTGGAGTTGATTGAAAGGAATAGCAAAAGAAATTCTCATAATAGACAATACAAGAGTCCCCTAGAGGGCTTATATAAATGCAGATTGCTGGGCCCCACTTGGAGTTTGTTTCTGTTTGTCTAAGATGGGACCCCAAAATGTGCACTTGTACAAGTTCCCAAATGATGTTGAAGCTGTTAGTCCAGGGTTCATACATTGAGAACCTCACAAATTTTTTTTTGAGACCAAGTCTTGTTCTTTTGCCCAGGTTGGAGTGCAGTGGTGCGATTTTGACTCACTGCAACCTCCACCTCCCGAGTTAAAGAGATTCTCATGCCTCAACCTCCCGAGACATGGCTGGGACTACAGGTGTGCAACACCAGGCCTGGCTAATTTTTGTACTTTTTTTTAGATGGAGTCTCACTCTGTCATCCAGGGTGTAGTGCAGTGGCTTGAGCTCAGCTCACTGCAGCCTCTGACACCCTGGTTCAAGCAATTCTCCTGCCTCAGCCTCCCAAGTAGCTGGGATTATACAGGCTCCTGACACCATGCCTGGCTAAGTTTTGCATTTTTAGTAGAGATGGGATTTCACCATCTTAACCAGGCTGGTCTTAAACACCTGACCTCGTGATCCACCCACCTCTGCCTCCCAAAGTGCTGGAATCAGAGGGGTGAGCCACTGCACCTAGCCTAATTTTTATATTTTTAGTAGAGACAGGGTTTCACCAAGTTGGCCAGGCTAGTCTGGAACTCTGACCTCAAGTGATCCGCCTGCCTCAGCTTCCCAAAGTGTTGGGATTACAGACGTGAGCCAGTGTGCCCGGCCACAAATATTTTTGAGACATACTTCTCTGAGCTTCTTCTAATATCAAGTAATAAAGTCTCATCATGAAGTCCCAGTAGCTTCTGTCACCCCAGAAGATACAGATTCTGTCATTAGCAGCTAACAACACAGCATGGGTCCTAAGAGTGGACTGGGATATTCATTTCAGACAAATCCATTTCCTCATCTATAAAATGGCTTGTTAAAAAGTAAGTTTTAGTACACATAGCAGTGGCCACATTCAATACTTGTAATCGTTCCCTACTTTCTTTATTAGAATTACTTACGCCTAGGCTGGGTGTGGTGGCTCATGCCTGTAATCCCAGCACTTTGGGAGGCCAAGATGGGTGGATCACTTGAGGTCAGAAGTTAGAGACCAGCCTGGCCAACATGGCGAAATCCTGTCTTTACTAAAAATACAAAAGTTAGCTGGGCATGGTGGTGCAGACCTGTAATCCTAGCTACTCAGGAGGCCGGGGCAGAAGAATTGCTTGAACCCAGGAGGCAGAGGTTGCGGTGAGCTGAGATCTCACCACTGCACTCCAGCCTGAGTGTGAGACTGTTTCAAAAAATTAAGAATATCCAGCCGGGCATGGTGGCTCATGCCTGTAATCCAAGCACTTTGGAGGCCAAGGTGGGCGGATCACCTGAGGTCGGGAGTTCAAGACCAGCCTGACCAACATGGGGAAACCCCGTCTTTTTTTAAATTAAAAAAAAAAAAAAGAAGAATTAATATCCTAACACCTGTTGGAATCTATTCATGGGAACTACAGATTAAGTTTATGTCAACAGTAAGACAGAGATGGGAATCTGAAAGGCCATACCCTCATGAAAAGTATGCCAGGGAAATTCCATGTTCTGATTTCTCTCCTTTAGGACTGTCAATGGCAGGATACCAGCTTTGGTCACCATGGACCCCACTGGATGAAAGCTTCCAATGGCTGCGGCACACAACACCTACACCTTCCTCCAAGCACCGCTTTAGGGCCTCCCCCTGCTTCCCACACACACCGTCTGACCTAGAAGTGCAGCTGTGCTTTCAAGAGGTCACTCTAGTCCTAGACAGTCTGGAATCTGGATTGAGTCCCAGGTTACCCTGCCACACATCAGAGTTGCGAAACAGGAACAACAAAGGACTGGTCAGGAAGCCCCAGCCCATACGCCTCAGTGGAGTAGATTCTGTCTTTGGCAGGGTTATCACAGCTCAGCCACCAAAGTGGACTGGGACTTTCAGAGTTTCAGACAAGTCAGCTTTTTGCAAAATCATTACCAGGGAGCACCAGTGGCCCATTGGACTTAAGGAGCCTCAAATTCAGATGACAGTGACTATGTGCAAACAGATGCTGCGCTCTATCCTCTTGCTGTACGCAACTTACAAAAAGTGCACCTTTGCCTTGCAGCACTCCAAGTAAAGGGTCCTCATTTGATCCCCATTTCTTCATACCATGCCCTTTGGTATGTATGTACCTGAAGCTTACAGAAACCTGTCCACGTAAATGAAACTGTGACACTGCCCCAGCCGTCTTGCTTTTGTCAGGCAGTGGTGATTCAGGAGCCCTTATATCCCTTCCCCTCCAAAAAAGGACCAATGATACAGAACAAGGGAGAAAATTTCCATTGTAAAGTTGAACCATTTTGAGTCAAACTAGCATTGACGTGTACATGTGATAACCATTAAATAATATAAACCAATGAGCCTAGTGTGAACTCATGTAAACAACTGAGACCACAATGACTGGGGGGAAAAGGGGGCTGAGGAGAAAGATGTATGGATTTCTATGTACTAGAGGATGTAAAAAAAAAAAAAAATCTATATATATATAGGTCAAGGATTCGTTTAAAAACAACCTCCCGGCTGGGCACAGTGGCTTACTCCTGTAATACTAGCACTTTAGGAGGCTGAGGAGGGCAGATCACCTGAGCTCAGGAGTTCAAGACCAGCCTGGCCAACATGGTGAAACCCTGCCTCTACTAAAAATACAAAAATTAGCAGGGTGTGCTGGCAGGCGCCTGTAATTCCAGATACTTGGGAGCCTGAGGTAGAAGAATTGCTTGAACCTGGGAGGTGGAGGTTGCAGTGAGCGGAGATCATGCCATTGCACTCTAGCCTGGGCAACAGAGCAAGACTCCATTTCAAAAAACAAAACCAAACCAAAAACCAAACAAACAAAAAACCTCCCCCCACCAAAACAAAAACAACAACAAAAAACTCCTAACTAACCACACCCTAATACCACTGGATACTGGAGTGTACAAAGGTGGGTAGAAATACTTATATTAAACAATATTTACAGCCTGTCAAGGAAAATCTTGGTAGCACCATTGAAACTAGGCTTTCTGATAGGCTACATGGAACTCAAGAGTGTCTCCATTTTAGCTGAAATGCACTCCTAATGTTCGATTTCTCATAAACTACAAGTAATTTTGTGGCATTGTTTTTTGGAGACCGGTCTCATTCTGTCACCTGGTCTGGAGTGCAGTGGTATGGTCTTGGCTCACCACAGCCTCAAACTCCCAGGCTCAAGTGATCATCCCACCTCAGCCTCCTGAGTAGCTGGGCCACCACATCTGGCTAATTTTAGTTTTTGTTTTTTTTTTAAGAGATGGGGCCTTACCACGTTGTCCAAGCTGGTCTCAAACTCCTGGGCTCAAGCAATCCCCCGGTGTTTGGGATTAAATGCGTGAACCACTGTACCTGGCCTTTGTAGCATTCTTATAACTATGTTAGGTATAACTCAGAATATGGAAATAAAACGTTTTATGTACAATGTCAACATGAGTGTGATGCTGCTTTTTTATTTTTGATCTTACACTAACACACCAATAAAAAAAAATTTAAAAAGCAGCCAAAACATTCCTTTTGACTTTCTTTGGGCATTGACAAGAAGTTCAAGTTGGCCAGGTGTGCTGGCTCATGCCTGTAATTCCGCTCTGGGAGGCCGAGGCGGGAGGATTACAAGGTCAGGAGTTCAAGACCAGCCTGGCCAATATGGTGAAACCCCGTCTCTACTATAAAATACAAAATTAGCAGGGTGTAGTGACGCATGCCAGTAGTCCCAACTACTCAGGAGGCTGAGGCAGGAGAACTGCTTGAATCCAGGAGGCAGAGGTTGCAGTGAGCCAAGATTGTGCCATTACACTCTAGCCTGGGCGACAGAGTGAGACTCTGTCTCAAAAAAAAAAAAAAGGAAGTTCAAGTCAATCTTCCAGAAAGATCAGATATATCTCATCTCAAATGAAGTTGTTTCTTACAATAGGAGATGTGATTTTAATCGACAGAACTATGTATGTTAGCACCAGTCTCCATAATTTCTCTGCACAAATCTCAATTCAACTTCACCTAATCCTTGAACAGTAAAGCAAATCCAGAAAGACAAATGAGGCAGCTGAGGCAACACTTAGAACAGAATTTATTTGTAAAACTGGTACAAACCTAAGTTCTAGAATAAATCAGTTTCAAAACTAGCTCCCTAAGTCCAGAATAATGACTCAAGAGATTTTACTCTGCAGTGTAGCAAGGCTGGGTTTATCCAAACCAATAAATAATGCTATATTAGAATATTGATCCAGGGATTGTGGTGATGTTAGACAATCCATGATGTCCACAATTAAGTTAATAAAGCCCCCACTTTAAGAACAAAATAGGACCTGGTGCAGTGGCTCACGCCTGTAATCCCAGCACTTTGGGAGGCTGAGGCGGGTGGATCATGAGGTCAGAAGATTGAGACCAGCCTGGCCAATATGGTGAAATCCCGTCTCTTCGAAAAATACAAAAATAAGCTGGGTGTGGTGGCGTGTGCCTATATTCCCAGCTGCTCAGGAAGCTGAGGCAGGAGAATCATTTGAACCTGTGAGGCAGAGGTTGCAGTGAGCTGAGATCACGCCACTGCACTGCAGCCTGGGCGTCAGGGTGAGACTCCGTCTAAAAGAAAAGGAACAAAATAGGATGCTTCCAGTAAGAAAGGCAAACAGTGGATGTCAAACTAAACACAAAAGGTCAGAGGCTTGCAGAGAAACAGAAGGAGACAAAAATCTGTCTGGGGTCTAATCAGAGTCGCCAGAACTCTCATCACTATCTTGCTCCTTTTCTCCAGCACTTAATTCCTCTTCGTCACCATCCTAAGGGAGAACAAATAAGTATTTTAGGTCACTGCTCTGGGTGATACAGCTCCCAGGGGATACACAACTGTACTATTATCACTATTAAAACTAATGAAGACTTTAAACCATTTGTAAATAAATTTGTTCTTCTTGATATCAGGAACTGTAAGCCAGGACCAGAGAGGGAGATTGGTCATTTTAATACTGATTGATGCCATTTGCAACCTAACCAATTTGCTTTATTATTATCTTTCTTTTTTTACACTGTCTCTCTCAGGATATATTATTATTATTTTTTGAGACACAATTTCACTCTTTTTACCCCGGGCTGGAGTGCAGTGGGGTGATCTTGGCTCACTGCAATCTCCGCCTCCCAAGTTCAAGCGATTTTCCTGCCTCGGCCTTTCAAGTAGCTGGGACTACAGGCGAGTGCCACCATACCCAGCTAATTTTTGTATTTTTAGTAGAGACAGGGTTTCTCCTTGTTGGATGGGCTGGTCTCAAACTCCTGACTTCAGGTGATCCACCCACCCTGGCCTCCCAAAGTGCTGGGATTACAGGTGTGAGCCACTGTGCTGGGCTCAATTTGCATAATTTTAAACGAGCCATGGTCCTCCAGCTCTACTGCATGTATATGACACAGGAACAAACTGGGCATTCAATATAGAATGAAATATTTATTAAAAATGCTGGTGTGGCCAGGTGCAGAGAAAAATGGCTGTAATCCCAGCTACTTCAGAGGCTGAGGTGGAAGAATCGCTTGAACCCGGGAGATGCAGGTTGCAGTGAGCCAAAACTGCATCGCTGCACTCCAGCCTGGGCAACAGAGTGGGACTCCATCTCAACAACAGCAGCAACAACAACAACAACAACAACAAAAAAAAAAGAAGAAATGCTGGTGCATCTCAACAGGAATCTAGCATAAAATTGTCTCGCTTAAAATTCTAATACAAGAGATTTGCTTAAAGTACCAAACTAAGGATATTTATTGTCTGCCTCAAATTCTCTGAGAAAAAGGTAGAAGAGGTATATTAAACAAACAAAACTGGAGACGATGTAAATAAAGGACTTTTTTTTGGGACAGGGTCTCACTCTGTCATCCAGGCTGGTGTGTGATGATGGCTCATTGCAGCCTCCACCTCCAGGGCTTGAGCAACCCTCCCACCTCAGCCTTCTGAGTACAGGGACCACAGGATGTATCACCACGCCTGGCTAGTCCAAAAAAATTTTTTTTGTAGAGATGAGATCTCAGGCTGGTCTTGGAACTTTTGGGTTTAAGCAATCCTCCACACTTCAGCCTCACAAAGTACTGTGATTACAGGTGGGAGCCACCCCACCAGGCCAGACTTTTCATATTAAATGATCATTCTGCATCAGACTCATATTGTATTACAGAGAGGCCCCACAGCAGTGGTTCTTAAATCTGAGCTTTTTGGTGTCTATAACCTACCTGAATGGTAACAAAATCTTATAAATGTACACTTTTTTTTTTTTTTTGAGATGGAGTCTCGCTTTGTCACCCAGACTGGAATGCAGTGGAGCAATCTCGGCTCACCACAACCTCTGCCTCCTGGGTTCCAGTGATTCTCCTGTCTCAGCCTCCCAAGTAGCTGGGATTACAGGTGTGTGCTACCATGCCCAGCTAATTTTTGTAGAGACAGGGGTTTCACCATTTGGCCAGGATGGTGTTGATTTCTTGTCCTCATGATCCACCCACCTTGGCCTCCCAAAGTGCTGGGATTACAGGTGTGAGCCACCGCACCTGGCTTTTTCATTTTTTTTTTTTGAGACGGGGTCTTACTCTGTTGCCAGGCTGGAGTGCAGTGCAGTGGCACCATGTTGGCTCACTGCAACCTCCACTTCCCAGGTTTAAGTGATTCCCCTGCCTCAGCCTCCCGAGTAGCTGGGACCACAGGCATGCGCCATCATGTCTGGCTAATTTTTTTCTATTTTATTAGAGATGGGGTTTCACCATGCTGGCCGGGATGGTCTCCATCTCTTGACCTCATGATCCTCCCACCTGGGCCTCCCAAAGTGCTGGGATTATAGGCATGAGCCACCACGCCCAGCTTTCATTTTATGTGGAGATAGGGTCTTGTTATGTTGTTGCCCAGCTTGGTCTTAAATTCCCAGGCTCAAGCAATCCTCCTGACTGAGGCCTCCTGGCCTCCCGAAGTGCCAGGATTACAGGCATGAGCCACTGTGACAGTCACGTATACATTTTTATTTAGTTTTCTTTAAATTCTCAAAAGCATCTGTGCCACAAAAGAGTAAGAACTTCTATTTTTATTTCAGTTCTCTAAGGTGTCAGCTTCTGACTCTGTGCTTTGGCTTTCACATTTCTATTTTTGTATGTTTCAAATGTGTTTAAATGGTATAACTCATTCTTCTCAAGACTCAGTAAATACTTTGATGACTTCTTTTTTCCCTTCTAAAATGGCTTCAGATATGAATTCATGAAAAATGAGAGGCTATAATGTAGAGAGAATTGTCAAATCCATAATAAATGCCATAACTTGAGATACTCAGGAGCGATTCTAAGATTGTGTGGTTGTTTTTTTCTGGGTCCACAAAATTATATAAGCACAGAA